CTTCCAACTAGGGATACACAGGACCATGTTAAGACTGTTTTTGAACTGTAAATATACGGACAAGCTGCAATGACATGGGGATGAGACGATATATCGTCCGCACCCATTCGTTAAGGAATGGTAGCGATATTTGTAGTACTACAGCGATGCTGCACTGCCCCTTGTTACCCAGTTTGATAATATTACGCCATTGAAGGAACTATTTAATTAAAAATGCAATTGTAACACCGTCATTCACCATGTATTGTCGTGCTACTTCACCAGTTCACACAAATGCATATTTCAGTGGATCGCGATAAGGCTTTAGAGCCAAATTTTTCGGAACCTTTGTCAAAATAGGTTATTACTCCAAACAGTTTTTGAAAAGCCTAGGACCGGCGCAGCCTCCTACCGTCTCCCGATCAGTGCTATCTAAGTTCACATTCTTCTCATGGGTTCACAGTGCTATCTAAGTTCACATTCTTCTCATGGGTATTTAACTGAAAAAAAACCGAGACTAATTACCTATACTAATCGCTTAATTCATAACCTGAAGATGGACCATCGTTATGCATCAAAAGAGGCCTATGTTGGCGCGCCTTCGGGAGAGCATTTGTTCCGAACTTTACTTCGTTCAACTGTCCAGCTATCCGTCATAGAAGCCCGGATGAATTTTTAGTAAATTTTCCCGTCTTCGCGATAGCTTTGAAAGTGGAACGGAGAAAATGAGCCAAAGGGTCTGTGACATTAACATAATTACAGGTATGCATAGTTCCCGGTCGTTTAAAAAGTTGCGAACGGGCTTTTTAATTACAGCAAACAATCCTAAGAAACATTGTTAATAGTTTCGTGGTAATGCATCAGTGCGAACAGTAATGCTTAGCTAAACAAGCATGGCCTGTATTCTACGTCCTTTCATGATCCAAAGCCTTGTTTTTTTTCAACAAAACAAAACAAAGCTACCAAGGCGTCTATTTCACTGAGAAAGATTAGCCGGCAGGTAAGCGTTTAATTAATTCGGTCGTTCGCTTAGGTATTTCACGCAAGTGTGGGCAGTTCAATGTCGTCGCCCAATTTCCAACGCCTGCTTTTAGCTTCTTTCCGACATCAAGAAAAATGTTGTATTCCGGGTCCATTGGACCCCGCCAGGTCTCATGCTAAGGACAATGGTGCTGAATCTGCGGCCCGCAATCGTTTAATTCTTCAGATGACAGCGAGCAACTGTTTACCGACACACATTCCTCTTGTGCAGAATTTCGAAACTATTATACTCAAGGAAGACTGAAAACACTGTGTTCCTGTGTCAACCCTCCCCTTCCCGAACTGAAGTCACTCAGCGGGCTGCAAATTTTTCTGCTTGTCAACTCGGTCTATAACTGTGCATATATTTCGCTAGTATCGTACCTTTGAAGTCAGTTTTTCTTCACTTGAAAAAACTCCCTATTTCGCCCACTATTTACCAAGCACAAAACTAAAACATTACCAATACTGACTGCAAAAGAGGGAGCTTTTTAGATTTTTTTCTGTCTTCGAGGTTTTGGAAGGCGCCCAAGAGCTGCTGTATCAATTAACCTAATTTTGACCTTACCTGTAAATTGGCTATCAATAAGTAACTATGTGAGGTTCTGCAACTTAAAGCCAGGAATGACATCTCACACGCATCAATGGCTTGGACGAGCCCATCAACTAATTGGTAACGAAATTAAACACAGTGGCTGGCATGGCGTAAAGGCCTACGTCTAAGGCGTACCATCACATTTACGTACGACCGTAGTTATGGGCTTATGCGAACTCACCGCAGCCGATTAACGCTTGTCTGCAGTCAATCTAAACTCCGTTTTGGTCCAGCGCGTTTACACCTCAGCCCGTTGTGTGGACCACGGCAAACTTATAAAATATCACACTGGCATTTTTTCACCAACCGCAAGAGTCGATGCGCGTACGCGTTCTGTGCACAAATTCACATAATAGGAAACTATAGATTATTTACCTTATTTTCTGGATGCGTTTTCGGCGTCTGTAGATGCGTGCTACACCTATGGACAACTGCCAGAGCTAACTTAAGTCGAGGACTAGTGAATAGACAATATCCTACGTCTACGATAATGTCTGATGAAATACAATTTCCTACTAATTCGGTCCGGAAAACTGATTACCGTGAAATAGCAGTTGTTATCTTTGTGGAATATGGCGTTTAAGGCTTGCCCCTTCTGTTCCTCTGTAATTGCTATTAGTAGAAAGAAGAGTCATTGTGAAGTTTGGTTAATTTTAGTAACTTAATTATTCCACTTTTGTAGTAAAATGTAGTTTGTCTGCAGCTATATAAATTTACTCTTTTAAAAGTAAACCCATTGAACGTCTTTCTTTAGATGAACTACAAGCAGTTCCGAGAAGGACTGCAGCGAGCACGCGCGTCTCACTCCTCTGAATCTCCAGTTGATAATAATGAAGTAATGCAGAGGCAGCCGGACAAATCCCCGCATACCACTCCTCCTCCCTCTGAGCCGGTGGAATCAACTGATACTGACATCCAGGTCGGTGTGGACATCCGCCTTCTTGATTCCTTGCATTAATTCAGTTACTTTGGTAGTGTTAATAGTTAAAATTTAGTTATCAGTCACTAACGCTTGTATTATCCGTCACACGAACTTACTTCCATGCTGTGGATTTTCTCTACGCAGATCCCTACAGGCTGGCTGAAACCAGCCAGTTCTTGGCGTGTCCAGCTGGCGTTTACTCTCCTTTTGTGGATCTCCCTGGTTCATGTTGGCTTCGGTGCCATATTTTTTATTCTCGCTTGCATCTACTGGCTGTGGGCCTGGGGCACGGAGGCTAGGAGGCGAACTCGGGCACCAAATACAATCCAAGCCGGTTGGTATTTTGACAATCGAATGGGAATTTGACCTTATTCAACATGTTCCCCAGAACCATTGGCTGTGACAGCCCTTCTAAGCATCTACTGTGATTATTTTTGATAACCTTTCTTCCAAGTGTTGGCATGTGTGGTTTCATTTGTCTGCGTTCACTTAATGCTTCTACATCGCCATATCCCTAAAATGGTACTTACACTCCCGACAACAACTTAATATAATTTTACATAGGCAAATTATGGTTAGTTGTTGGGCCGCAAGTACATGGGATTCAGATGTATTTAAAACGGGTTTCGAAAGCCGTAGACAATTATCATTCGGTGCGTTATACGTCGCTGACATAACCCCCGTTGGACTGAGTCAAATGGATAACTCCCCTGTTAAAATCCAGGTCGATGCAGTAGCTCTCCTGTCAGCGGCTTTACATATGTATGTATGTGCCTCCCCCCCCCTTAACTGGCCACTCTAGAACAACACGGGCAGGCCAAGGTAGGATAGGCGTTATTGGAGTTGCGCGCCGAGAATAAATGCCGAACATGGGGGCATGGTGGCACGCATAGGGGCGACTTCGGCCGCGCCAGTCACCTGTGCCCGGTCCCTCCAGTCTTCTTGACACCACCCAAACATCGGACACAGATAAATAAGAAGAGAGAGGAAGACTGGTATTTATAGCGCGTCTATTATCACTTAAAAACAACCCACACGTAAGTCACTGCGATTGCCTTCAGCTTACTGAAGCATGCGGTGGACATCGTCTAAATCGACGGTTGAACTGTCGTCTCCTCGAAAACGGACTGCGCTGCTAGACCAAAACAAAGCTACCTCCACTTATGGCATGCGTTATTTGTATTACGATAAGTGTGCGTGCTTTTCCAACTGTTGTAATAAAGCGCGTATGGCACGCGTTAGACGAAGGCTTTACGTGCGCTTTTCCATCTATCCGGTTATGACACTGGTGCAACTACTATTTTAACTATTACTCCAAAATGCACTGTGTGACTGGTGCACAGCCACTGATGATTGTGCTCTAAACTGTTGTAGTACATGCATGTAAAAGAGGTTATATGTCACTTTGGTCACTTTTCACAGTCTCTGCCTGGTCGGCTTGGTTCCAGCAGGCCACTGAAGCAGAGTAAAGGGAAGAGGGAGCGGGATCGATCCAGGTCGTATCTATGTTTGGTTTCGTCAATATAAGTTTTGGAAATCTTACGACAAACTGACAACCCCGGCTCAGTCTGACGGTCAGGCTGTTGTGGCTCCTTAACATGGTCTTTATGACGCACCTGTGAGCAATCCGCTCATTGAAGCCAACTCTATATGGCGTTAGAAACCAGGCTGCGCGTAGTACATGCAGATGGGGTGTTTTGGCATTGTAAACCACTGCACCTACAGTCGTCTGAAGTTATCTCGACTTTTGTATCGTCACTGTAATACGGCTGCTTTAGAATGAGTGATGTGGGCGCCGTTAAAACTTGCATCATGCCAAACAACTTCACATGCCAGTCACCACGGCGCACACCTTAGGCCATGGTCGGCTTCGTCTCTTGTAGCTGCTAAACGGTCGTTTGTGTCCAACCTCAGTCATCTACAACCTGTTTCTTGGTTCGATGTAGAAGCCAGTTTTTCTCATGGCTGCCCACCACCGTCAACCATCCGCGAATACTCTGGGTAGATCTGTCCCGGCAACTAACATCTTAGCCAGATCCTCAAACCACCTTTTGAGTTGGTTGCATAGATAAACGCCAACACACAGCGAGAGACGGTATCACGCCCTGTACACAGAATGCATAAAGAATAAGTTTTCGGAGCAGGTTGGTGGCCCGGACGCGGGGCGCACGCCCAGCAACCACCATAACAGGCGTCCGAATGAGAACATGTCTGCGCCAGCCTAGGAATTGATTGTCCCGGGAAGATATGGACGCTCACAGTGTCAGTGATTGGCCAGATGTTATGAGAGCGTCCTAGCCAGTTTTACACTGTCATTGGTGCGTACGGGTGTGTAAGCGACAGACAGAGGCGCAGTGTGACAACAGACGCAAGGAGCAGAGTCGTCATATGCCTATTTTCTGTTCTATTTGGGTTGATCAAAGCTCCTTAAATTTGGCTCACAGATCTAAGATAGAGTTAATTTCCTAGGCTTCAGGCCGTTCAATGTCCATATCTCCACAAAACACTGCCAGCAATGCCACCGTCACAATGACGACAACAAAGACTGGCACGCTGCGCGATATTAATCACTGCGGACTGAAGATAGTTCCCACTGCGACGATCATGGACTTGGTGTCAGCCGCAATGAATGCCGATCTAGGCCCTGGCCTGCATTACTCCACTTGGTAGGTCACTAGACAACAGCTTATGCATCAGCTTGTGGTTGAAGTTGGAACTGACAACTTGCTGAATGGGATATTTCTAGGGAACCTTAGGCACGGACGTGTCCGCAGCAACTGCCCTGATTGATCAAGACTGTCGTTAACATTTTGGTTCAAAAACCTAACCACAGGGAAGTGGTGGCAAACAGACTGATATAGAGGTAAAATCCACAACATGGTCGAAGTCGAATCAGGAATGAGAACAGCCGTACAAAGTACGGGTATGTGTCCCTCCCTCAACTCGGGCTCACGGAGGTACATTCTGCTGAGGCAGTTTGTACTGCTCTCACATGAATTCAAAAGATCTAGGTCCAGCACGTCCAAAACCCCGAGTAGCGATCCTGAGTAAATACTTGGACTATGCGTCCACTATGTTGAACCAGTGCTAGTGACAAGGCGATTATCCAACGTAGCGAGATGGGTTTCCGGTCGGGTCGTGACACAACAACGGCTCTTTTCGAGCTCAACGACGCCATCCTCGAGGGCTTCAATCAACAGA